CCAGAGCGTTTCCTTACTGTCCCCTCTGCTCATCTTTCAGCTGTGTCCCATGTCACCAAACATACTGAAAATATATTTAAAAATAACTCTAAGAAGTTTAAGGCACTGGATTTCCTGCCATTTTCTAAAACGACATTAGAGGTCTTATACACCTATGCACATACCCTGGGCTTTTTTGAAATACTCTAGATGAAATTATAAAAGCTCTCACTTAAAAATTATCCCATAACAGAAAGCAGCTGTAATTACTGAGCCTGCCCATCAGCAAAATGCCCACCTTTTTAATGCTGTAACCACATTTTCTGCTTTTGCAGATTAACGAAGGAAATGCAATCACACAGGCAGTTGCCCTCCAAAGTCTCTGGTCAAAATCAACCAAATTTGACAAGAGCCACGGAAGTTTCAAAGCTACAATGCTGCATCTTGGTGACAATTAGAGCAGGAGGCCAAGTGTGGGCTCAGCCCTGTTCTTCTCTGCTTGTCTGTGAAGGAAGCAGCATCTACGGGGCTTGAAGATGCTCATCCATGTTCTGCCTCCTGCCACCTCTGAGTCTGGATGAGAAACATCGCGAGGGAGAAAAGCTCAGCTGTCATCTGAGCAATGACAAAGAGAGACAGGAGCATGAATCCCCAGAAACCTAAGTTTCACTGGTTTCATTGCTCCCAGAGGGGTTTTCTGTGTTCTGCTGCTTCCTTATCACTGATAGGTCTGTCCATACAACCCCAGCAAGAAGCTAACAGGACTGGCTAAAAAAAAAAAAAAAAAAAGGCTCCCTGATCAAGGCAGAAAAAGATCACCAATTTTTGAATTACCTGCAAGCACAATTTGTAAGAATGGGCAAACCGTTTTCAGCAGAAATTCTGGATTTTAGGCCAAGTCTGTCCCCTTTGCATGATCACCCCTGAAGTTTAGTGAGGTGGAATACTGAGAAAATTCCAGGAAATTCTCCAAGAGAGAGGTCAGGACACAAAAGTGTGCAGCAATTCTACCACCCCCTGACTACTGACTTTCACACACTTGTCCAGTTTGCACTTCCCTTTCTGAATCTCAGAACTATAATTAGTAAAACTTACTGGTACAGTTGGAAAGTGCCAATTATATTTCTATCCTGGTTCTGGATTTAGTTCTGACAGACTGGAAACAAACTGCCTGCTCTGTAGCTGGAAGATAAGCATGTTGTTGCAGTCACACAGAAACAGTAGTTAACAGGCTTTAAAACATGTCTTTTTGGTGATACAAAGTAGCCTGAACGCTCTGATCCCATTTTTCTTCTTCCCCTCTCCCAGAACAGTTGCCCCCAAGGAGGTCTTAAAAGCCAGATCCTCAGATCTCTCTTCTCTGCCAGTTCCCAAAGGAGTAACTGAGGGAAAACACAAGAGGAAAAGGGGCTGTGACCCTAGCCCTGGGTTGGGCTGCCTTGCTGCCAGTCAATGGCTAGAGAAAGTTCACCTGCAGACAAAAAACAGACTATTAAATAAACTCTGATATCACTGTAAAGTTTTGGGTGGCTCCTCTTCACCCAGAACCATCTCGGGGTTATGAGACCCGCTGGGGACCAGTCCAAGCCCATCTCCTCCCAGTTCTCCAAGGCCTCATTCTCAAAGTCAGGCCTTGATGAAGCAAAAAGCTCTTCAAGAGCATCCAGAACCTGCTCACAGCAGTTGAGCTGCAGGGCCACATCGTGGTATGGGGGACGCTGAGCACTGACGCTGCCTTTGCCAGGACAGCAGGACGAGAATGTGCCAGCCACCCACAGCAACGCAGTCAACCAAGGGCTTCACACGGGGACTTCAAACCCTTTCCAACTTGTCTGAGAGAACTGGATCCCAAAAGCCCGTTTTCATGAAAATGTATCTCTCCAGAATAACAAACAGCATCAGCAGTTTTAAGCTCTGTGTTGCAAAATAATTCTGTAAGCCAGAAGTGTCATTAGCTTGTCAGTGACTAAGAAGGCAGTCCATTTCTGATCGCTTTTAACCAAGCTAATCTCAGCCTGAAAGCTTCAGGAATCTAAATAACTCTCGTTTCACAGAAGTTTCATTTCATTCTCATGCTGAAAATAATATACATAAACCAAGTTCATGTCTACACATTTGCATGACTTTATAATAAAAGTTGTGTTTATATTCTTAACATCTGTTGACATACACAGACTTTGTAAACCTGGCATAGATTTTAAAGACACAGAATTTTCCATGCATCATGAACATTATCTGTGAGAAGCAATAAAAAAGCAATGAGTACATTAATCATACCACTCTCATCTGCAAAACATAAATCTGAAATACCTTTCATGTCAGCTCAACTCATTCTTTACACACCTGATTTTATGCCATCTGTAAAAGTGCAGAATGAAGAACACGGAGGAAATTATATTTCTCAGTTCTCTGACTTTTACTGAATACTCACACTTTAAATACTGTAAACAGAAGATTTATTGCATGAAATAAAAGAAGTTTTAGAACCTAGAAGTTTGCTCCTTTCATTACAAAACTAAACTCTCCCATACTACAAAGCAGGTAAATAGCTCTAGTTTTGTCATGTGTTTCCTGAGTTGTAATAAACATTATTTACTTAGAGTATTATAACTTTAAGTAAGCATACACATGCATCAATTCATTTCAATTCATTTCCAGCTCCAATTTCCAAAAAGGCAAATACTTGCTCTCTGCCACCCAGCTCTAAGTATCCTAGCTGGAAATCACACATTAAGGCCCTTCCCTGGGATTGCGACACCACAAGCAGCTTCCACCTTCTGCAACTGCAAATGATGGCACTTCATCCGTTTTCTCAAAAAACGGTAAGTGATATTCTGCCTTCAGATACTCACAAATAGCCTTGATCCCAATTAGAGCTAGAAAGAATCCGCTCTCTGCTTGTTTTCCCTGCTGGATGCACCACATGTTGCCATGAAAACATTAAATTTTGAAGCCAGCTCCCAACTTCTGCTGACACCATTCTCATGTTCTCCCTTAAAAACAAGGAATGTGAAGGGCAAGCTAGAGGGGAACACAGACTGTACCAATACCTTCCAGCCAATAAAGTGGCTTGCTTTTTTGGGTCTGCCATTTCTACAGGGATAGGTACTGGAAGTATAAACATCCACTACTGCAAAACTACTTACTAATATTTAAATTAGTATTTAAATAAACATAATTTCCTATACAGGCATGTTTGTTAATCTTTAAGTTAGACAGACATATGAATACCTTTGCAATTTGTAAGACAAATCTACTAGAATAAAAATAATAAAAAAAAAAAAAAGGAAGAAGAAGAAATGGCCAAAGCAATGAATTTTCCAGCTACCTGCTGGTGGGATATTGATTTGATGATTTGTCTCTTGATATGTCTGCCAGTACAGTAATGCATCTGATCAAAGCAATTTAGCATATTTACAGTATGCAAAAATATTTTCTATTAACTCTTAAAAAAACAATGTCTAGCCTGCTGAAGCAGCAAGGTGTTTGGCTGGGTCCTGTCAGGGTTCAGGGACACGGTTTCATGAATATTCCAAGCCCAAAGGATGAAATCTCAGCTCCTCTTCCACGGGTTTCATTTAGCTTCTCAAGGTCAAACCTGCCGCGCTCTCTTGGTTCTTCCAGTTCTCCTGGCTGCCTTCACGTGTCACCAAGGTTTCATGTGAGCTTCCTCTCCCGGGCTCAGCTCCTTCGCTGCCCCGTGATTTGTTACACGATACGGTTTAATTTGTTCTATATTAACTTTCAGGTTTAAAGTGCAATCCAGGAAAAAAAAAAGCACCGAGGACTCTGTGCTCTCTGGAACGGCTCTGTCCTGCTTGTGGGCTCAGTTTTGTTTTCTCTGCTCCTTTCACCTCGCTCAGAAGGGCCGGGGAGCACTTCTCACCTTCCCTCTACTCATCTGGGCTTCCCTCACTATGACACTACTACTACAGGAAACAGCAAAGAGAAAGAGCCAGCGTTGCAAATCGTTGTTTATCTAGCTTACTATTGATTTCCTAAAGATCTCCGAGCTTAAAGCACAGCCATGTAAATAAACAGTTCACAGCTCACTTAGTCCCTACATACACCAACAAATACCAGTCTGGGGGTCTGCTGCGTCCTTCCAGCAGCGGAGGAAGGACCACCTTACCTGAGCAAGTCACCTTAATGAAACCCTGTTTCCCCTCACACCTGGGAACACATCACCTACAAAAATTAAATAGAATGGGAATTGCTTTCTTTCACTTCCCCCATTGGAAAATGGCCTGTATGGGGAAATGAAAGAAAGCAATTCCCATTCCAATGCCCAATGTAAATACTAGAGAAGTAAATAGTATTCACTCATAACATTTCACTGTTACTTCAGCCAGAAAAACAAAAAAAGAAACTTGAAAATATCTGAATTTATGGCACAGGACCAAAGGGAAGAGGAACAGCAGAGATAGGACACATCAGAGCAAACTTTCAAAAGAGGTCAGCACAGAAATCTAATTGAAATGGTAACCACATGCTATAAGTATTCACCTTATGGCAGTAAATCCTTAAATCTGAACCTACACATGCTAAATAGACTAAACGAAAGGTGTAAATAAATATTATTCTTAATTTAAGTTTTGGGGAGAAGTTTCTGTTCTTACACTTACCCATCTTTTTTTCCAGTGCTTACAAGACAAAAATGAATCACACTATCCAACAACTAAGTTTTCTATTATTAATCTAGCAGTGCTAATAATTATATGAAAAAAATCGGAATCAAATATTATTTGTCTAATCCCATAGTACCAACCCTGACCTCAATATTATAATTAAGAAAATGTGATATTAGAATATATCTACCACACAAATACAAAATGAAATTTATTTACTCCATCTAGTAAGATCAGAATCAGAGAACAATCCACCTAGGCAAATCTAACAATGTTTGGCCTCAACAGGACACTCCCAAATTTCTGAATACAAATATTTTCCCATCAAGATCACATGGAAATTAAACTAATTATGTTTCCTTTATACTAACAGTGGTATATAACAATAATTACCTGATTAAAATTTTTGAAATTGAACTCTTTGTAGATGGCATCTCTTTCGCCTAGCTCAGACCAGCCTGAAGCCTTAAGATCCAGCAAAACTTGGTTCCTCTCCTCTGTTGTCAACCAGTGAGACTGTGAAGACTATTCAAGAGAAGAAAAAAAAGAAAATAAGAAACACTCCATAAGTGAGGCTGAGGTCCTATTTTATACAATACTAAGAAAACCACATGATGAAATTGTGGTTATTACTATAGAAATGTAAATGTTCAAGAAATAAGAGGTGTAAAAAAAAAAAAAAACACTATATGATTCGTTAGTTTTGATAATTTCTCAGACCAGCATAATACAATTTACTCGAAACAACCAAGAAACACTGTTTCTGTTTGGACCCTTGAGCTTGGCTATATGTTTTTGCATTGAATTGCAGATGAGTGATGGACTCTTATGAAATCAAATATGGACACCAGCATACCTGCACCCTACAGTCTGTTCACCTGTATTATCCAGATGCTGTAACATTTGCATTTCCATATATTTATTTTGCCATGTAAATAATCTTATTTACATTGTGCACTGAATGTACAATTATAAGAGGCTAGAGGGATCTATTGGGGAATATCTGTATTTTAAAAGACAGGAAAAAAACATAAAATATGAGATTGCATTAAAGATAACTTTACTTAGGAGTAGTAAAATATAAAATAAATTTACAAATAGCAAGTATTGCAGAAGTCTAAAAGCAATTGAAAGGTATTTTTTGCCCACTGACAACACACACACAAAAAAAGACAGTACAAATATATGCAGCTGCACGTTATTGACACAAGCACTAGACTCTATGACACCACTCATACATATATCCAATTTTAAGCAAAATGAGTCCTTCTAAACCCAAGAGGAGCACAGACTTGGCAGATTATACCATCTGCTTAAACATCTTCATCAGTGTCTAAAAAGAGATCTGAAGATAGGTTATTATCTGATTTATAGGTTATTTCAAAAAGGTCTGATATTTTTTCCTAGCACCTGAGATAAAACATCCAGGTGGTTAACTACAGACCGCATATTCTAACAGGCTGGGCTCAAATTCGCTCTCTAAATGTAATGATTTAACAGGATGATGTTTTCTCCCTCACTGAGCAAAATTCAGTTTGTTTGGCCTTTATGAATGCGAGCAGGCTATCCTAATCACACAAACCCTTATGAAAGTCAATGAGCACTTTGGCACCAGGACTTCAATAACACACGGGAGGCCTGCAGATATTGACAGCAAAGCTCTTCTGTTCAAACTTGTGTCTTTTGGGTTTGTTTTTTTTTTGGGGGGGAGGGGACACTTACATGTGCAGTTATTTCGTTAGAAAAGTGTGTATCTGTGTGTGTCTTTGACCTCCAGCCACTTTCCTATCCCCCGTACTTACGGAGGGATCCGGTGGTGCTCATGGGCACGAGCATTTCTGCGAGCACGGGTCAGTCTGAGCCCCTCTGCCACCAGATGGTGCTGCACGCCAAAGCTAACACAGGCTTAGAATATTAAATTATTAAATATTTGAGACAATATTAAAATATAAAACTATTAAATATTTAATGCAATATTAAAATATTTAACGCAGTATTAAAATAAAGCACATGTTAATGCAATTAATTCTAGCTGAGCAAAAGCCTTTAGGATTGCTTTTTACTACCAAATCTTTATCTCACAGGAGTAGCAAATACACAGGCACTGCTAAGGACCAGCAAAATGAAGGCTCTGTAATTTCCAAGAAGCAAAATTTTCATCAGTAATAAGGGAAAAAAATAAGGGAAGTCACTCAAATAGCAGCACTTAAAGGGGTTATGTTCCATAGGACACAGACATCACAACACAGAGGTTTTTCAGTCTCCAAACCAAATCAATTTAGGCCCTTTACTCTTCAGAATAAACACTGCAGGCCCACAAGAATAAAGCAGCTTTTTGATGTCAAATGTGTATTGCTATCACAACACTTTGTAAGTTAGATTTTTATTATTATTATTCCTTCAAATTTATTATTTAATCTGACGAGAAGTAAAATCAGGAGATGATTTAAGAAAATTCTGGGAGGTTTTGTTTCAGGTAGCAAAGTGCAGGATTTGGGTCAGGAATCAGTGCAAGGTTCACTCTCCTGCTCCTCAGCAGTTTTGTTGGATCAGTTTAAACATTTCAGTTACCTTCACCAAGCCACAGAAATCACAGAGACAATTTGGTGATTTAAAATTAAATTGTGTATTTCTTCATATAAATGGGGAGATTGAGCTTGACCTAGACCTGGAAAAGGAGCGTGGGGGGAAGGAGCTGAGCCAAAGGAAAAAAAAAAAAAAAAAAAGAGAGAGATTTAACTGGGGACATCAGAGATTAGTGCAGAATATTTGGGGTTTGAGGGGCAGGATACGAACTCTGCATATACATATAGTCACTAGTTCATGTAAAATATATATATACATACACATATATGTATATTTACACACATACACAGAAGAGCTTTGCCTTAGGTATCTACAGACCTTCAATGCGTTATTGGAGCCCTGATGCAAAGGTGCTCAGCAAATATCAGTAAAGTGCACATCATCTCTCTGTAGCTATACCTATCCATATCTATCACATATATATTTATAAATTACAAAATAAATATATGTAAACGGGTGTGTACATACATGTATACACCCCCCACACACACACGCATACAGTAGTTTAAAAATAATAAAAACAAATGATCAAAGTGGAATTTCTCTGCTCGGCCCTGGCTGAAATGAGAAACTTTTTTGGGGGAAAAGGGTCTG